CACCTTCACTCCTGCACTTTTCAGAGATTGAGAAGTAATTTGATATATTCAGTCTCGGTGGATGGGGAATTTCCCATGACTCTACTCTGAAATTCCCAAAACTTTCGTTTTCTCCTGAACGCACTTTTTTCCCTTTTGGTTCCCCCGTCTTTTTGAGACCACCCTTCAGGTCCCTGTTCGGGCTCCACTTGCCATATGGGACACGAAGGATAGCCAGACAGCAGGAATGTAGTTTTGCCGAGGAGTAGAGGGCTGAAGCTCTCACAGGCAAACAGCAGCCAACTCTCCAACCTCGGTTTTTATTAGATACATGCACAATACTCCCATGAGAATAAACAGTTTTTTACAGATTACCTCTTGCAAAGCATTAGCAACTACTTTTGATGAACACCTGGTTCTAGTTGTTTATATACTTTTTCAAAACAGACTGTTCCCAGAACGTTATCAGCTGGTTCTCAACAGTTTATAACCTTGAACTTCTGAGTTGTGGCTCCGTGTGCAGACCCACAACTGCAGTTCTTATTCCAATCTGTGTCCTAATGTAACCTTCTCCTCTACACTACAGAAAATTGGTATAGATGACCTTTATCTCAATCTGATAAAAGCCATCTACCACAAACCAACAGCCAACATCATACTAAATGGACAAAAACTGAATGCTTTCACTTTAAAATCAGGAACAAGAAAGGATGTCCACAGTCACCACTCTTGTTCAAAGTAGTTCTGGAAATAATAGCCAGAGTACTTAGACAAGAAAAAAAAATAAAAAGAATAAGAATAGGAAAGGAAGAATTTAAATTATCATTATTTGCAGATGACATGATACTCTATATAGAAGACTCCAAAAACTCCACCAAAAGACTTCTAGATTTGATAACCAAATTCAGTGCCACAGCTGGATACAAAGTCAACACTCAAAAATTAATGCCTTCCTGTATGCAAATAAAAAACTCACTGAGAGAGAAATTAGAGACAAACCCTTTCACAGTAGCATCAAAAAAAAAAGGGGGGGGAAATACCTAGAAATTAATTCCTACAGAGGAAGTAAAAGAATTCTACACTGAAAACTACAGTACTCTGAAAAAATCGAGATATCTGAAAATGGAAAGATACCCCTGGTTTTTAGATAGGAAGAATCAATATAGTGAATATTGTAATACTTACAAAATTGTTATACAGATTTAATGCAATTTTGATAAAAAATCCAGCACCATATCTCACAGAATTAGAATAAACAATCCTAAAATTCATTTGGAATCAGAAGAGACCTAAAATAACAAAGGCAATTTGGTGCAACAAAGGCAAAGCAGGGGGAACACAATTGTTGACCTGAAATTATACTACAAAGCTATTGATAAAAACAGCATGGTACTGGCAAAAGAACAGACCTGAGGATCAATGTTCAGACTAGAAGATGCAGAAACAACTAAAGAAATACTCAGCAACCTAATCTTTGACAAAGGAGCCAAACACCTTCACTGGAAGATAGCCTCTTTAATAAATGGTGCTGGAAAAACTGGCTTTCTACATGCTGAAATTTGAAACTAGAATGGTAAGAAAAATGAGGGTTGTTTTAAGAAGCTACATTTGTGATAAATTGTTTCACAGGAATAGAAAACCATACACCCCACCATCTTGACTCCTGTGTGATGTCTAAGGTTGGGCTGTCACCTGGTGATTATGAGCAAATAGAACAAACGAAAGTGCAATAGGGTTTCAGAAAACTTGGCTTTGACATTTGGGGCTCTGAATATCAGTATTACTAACTACTTACCTTCAGAAACTTGGTGTGAGAGAACAAACACTACTCTTTGAATCACAGCACGTTGGTACCCTACTATTTGTTGCTTCTAAGTGACACAGGAAATTTTCTAACTGACACAGTTCTCTCTGACACAGGAAATCATTTATTTTGGAGATTTTGGGTTTCTGAAAAGATCTCTTCTCACATTGAGTGAAGAAATTTGGATTTAAATTTTTCACTCACTTTTTAAAAACTTTACTTTTTTCTACTCACCTATGTTGCTTTTGAGAAGTGTAATGCTATTACTTTTTCCTGATTCTTTGCATAGATACTTATTCTTTCTGTAAACTTTTTTCAGCACTGAGGATTGAACACAGAGCTGCCTTCTTTCTGTAAACTTTTAGGAGCCTCTTTGTAGTTGAAAATTACTTCACTAATAAGATAATACATGATGATTTTTTTGAGACAGGCTCTCGCTATGTAGTTGAGACTGACCTGGAACTCACTATGTAGCCCAGGCTGGTCTCGAACTCACAGTGATCCTCCTGCCTCAGCCTCCTGAGTGCTGGGATTACAGGTGTGCACCACCACGCCCGGCTGCATTTCCTTTTCTACTAAAGCAAGGACCCACACTAGCCAGACACATCTTCAAAGTTGGCAAAATGTGAATTGCTAACAAACTCACTGAGAGAAAAAATAAGGGAAACAGCTGCCTTCCCAAAAGCAACCAAAAATATGAAATACCTAGGAATCAATCTAATGAAGGAAGTAAAAGACTTTTACATTGAAAACCACAGTACTCTGAAAAGGGAGATCAAAGAGGATATCAGAAAATAGGAATATAGCCTTTGTTCTTGGGTAAGAAGAACCAATATAGTGAAAATGGCCATACTTCCAAAACTGTTACATAGACAATGCAATCCCAATAAAAATACCAAGAGCATATCTCACAGAATTCAAAAAAACAATGCTAAAATTCATTTGGAAACAGAAGAGACCTAGAATAGCAAAAGCAATTTTGAGCAACAAGGACAAGGCAGGGGGCAGCACAATCCCTGACTTGAAATACTATAAAACTACTGTGATTAAACAAACAAACAAACAAATAGCATGGTACTGGCAAAAAAACAAAAACAAAAAAGAAAACAGACCCTAGGATCAATGGAACAGATTAGAAGATGCAGAAACAACTCCAGAAATACTCAGCCACTTTACCTTTGACATAGGAGCCAAACACCTTCACTGTGAGAAAACCTCTTGATAAATGGTGCTGGAAAAACTGGCTTTCCACATGACAAAGATTAAAACTAGACTCATATCTTTCACCATGCACTTAACTAAAATTGAAATGGATCAAATACATAAATATTAAAACAGAAACAATCTGCTGGAAGATAGAATAGGTAGAACTCTTGAAAACATTGTTGCTGGCAAAGACTTTATCAACAAAACCCTGATTGCACAGGAACTATCATAAAAAATCAACTGGGATCTCATCTTATTAAAAAGCTTGTGCACAGCAAGAGAAACTGAGTGAAGAGACAATCCACAGTGTGAGAAAAAAATTTTGCCAGCTGTTCCTCAAAGGACAAATATCTGGAAGATATAAAGAACTCAAAAAAATCAGACCCCCCCCAAAATTTAAAGACCCAATCAAAAAATGGGCATCTGAAATGAAGACACTTCTCTGATGAAGTAAAAATGGCAAATAAATATATGAAAAAATGTTCAAAATCACTGGTCATTCGAGAGATGCAAATTAAAACAACTCTAAAATTCCATGTCACTCCAGAAAGAACGGCTATTATCAAGAAATAAACCAATAACAAATGCTAGAGGGACTGTGGGGAAAAAAGAACCCTTTCTCAGGCTGAGGATTTAGCTCAGAGATGCCATCACCTGCCTTGCAAGCTCAAGGTCCTGTGTTCGATCCCTAGTACCAAAAAAACCCCAAAACAAACAAACAAACAAACAACCTTGTCCATTGCTGCTGAAAGTGTAGACAGGTCAAACCACTGTGGAAATCAGTTTGGGGATTCCTCAAAGAACTAAAACTAGAGGTTCTATTCAACCCACCCATTCCCCTTCTTGGCATCTTCTTGAAAGAAAAGCATCATACCATGGTGATATATGCACACCCATGTTTATAGCGGCAGTTTGTAATAGCTAAATCTTAGAAACATCCCAAATGCCCATCATTCAAGAAATGGATAAAGAAGATTTTTTTTAATACAATGGAATCATACTCTGCTATAAAGGATAAGCTTGAGTCATTCCAAGTTAAACGGATGCACCTTGAGACTATACTCTTAAGTGAAATAAACTGTACATATGTTTAAATTCCATCTTGTTTCTCTGGTGTGAGAAACCAAAAGTGTAAATAAGAACCAAAATGTATACTAGATATTGGGAAATGTGAAGAAAATGTTCAAATGAGAAGGAGAACAAGGGAGGATGAGGAAAGGATAGTGAGTTCCAGGTCAGTCTCAACTACATAGTGAGACCCTGTCTCAAAAAACCAAAAAAAAAAAAAAAAAAAAAAAAAAAAAAAAAAAAAAAAAAAAAAAAAAAAAAAATATCATATACAATTACAAATTCCCTATGATGAATGTTATCGTTATGTATACCTAAAATGTACCAATAAAAAAGGGAAAAAAAAGACTTTACAGAAGTGAGTGGGGCTAAGGAAATTAAAAAAAGAAAGTTGGGGCATTCAGGTTTTAGCAACAATGGGAACCACAATTATCCCTAAATTGAAGAGGACAGGGAGAGGAAAATATGTCACCTGATAGCCTGGTTAAAAGCTGGCGCCAAAGGAGAGAGGAAATATTACAGAAGCCTTATAGTGTAAAAAAGAGCCAGCCTGTGGCAACTGTGGTAAGAAAACAGGAAGAATATATAGTCTTCTCTTCCTCATCCACTCCAATCTTCTATTGGCTAAATTCAATCTGAAGCCAAACCCAGATTTAGTACTTAAGTGATTAAATCAACAGAGATCAGCCTTCCAGGGTAGGATCAGAGACAAGAACAGCAGATTCCAAGAGCCAAAGAGAAAATAACCAGCCACCACACCTCACCATCAAGAACACTTAGATTAACTTAATGAAAAAAACAAACAAACAAAACTTAGATTATAAGTCAAAAGGGGGGGCCTTTAAAATTTTTTTTTAAAAAGAATGGATATATTTTGGTAACTTTTTTTTTAAAGTAGTACAGACAGCCCCCAAATACCATCCAACACACAGAAAATACTCACAGTCTTCATGAGGGTAATTTGCCATAGGCTGTAAAGCATCAACCTGCCTGACACATGAAGACCTCAGAATACAACCCATTGTGAGGAAATATGTCTTGTCTCTGAAGTTCTAGAATTCCCAGAAGCTCTGTCTGATGCAGCATTTGACTTTCTTCACAGCGCTTGAGTGTTCCACACTAAAGATCTCTCTTTCCTAATTCCCAATGAACAAATTAATCTTACTAATGAGTCTTTACTTGCTTGGATCTGTCAGAGGTGAGTCTTCCGTCTAGGCTCCAGATAGACACGTAAGGGGCCTCCTTTAAGGTGCTTCTGCCTTTGAAGAAGGAAGATCAGTCACTTAGTTACCCAAACCAATCTGACTCCAAATCAAGAAAATAAGACCAAAAATGAGAGCTTCTGAACTAGCTGATTACTTCCAGTTATGGTTTTCTATTCAGTGGGGCCCACTGACCAGGCACTCCCCTATTCTTAGTTCTTTTAGACACTAAACATTTGGACCTGATGTTCTGTAAGAAGGGATAGGCCTAGGGGTTCAATGTTAGTCCAATGAGGATTTGTTCCTACCAACTGAGTGTAAGAGATCCATTGCAGTTAATGTGTCAAGATAGGAGACAGGATGGGAAAGGGCTAAGAGAAATATCGCAACACAACGGGAGTATGGGCCAGAGATCATGTAAGTATTTCCTTTATGCCTGTGCTTATCTAGTTTTCTGTATTGCCTTATGGGAATCATGAAGGAATCTGTTCCCTCCCGCCTATTACAAGAGGACAGGCCACAGCTCTGAGCTGTCGGTGAAATGACAAATTTTCAGCAATTCTGGCTTTCAGAGATTTTTCTTCTTGTTTTGTTACTTTCAAAAACTTGAGCCAAGCATGGTGGCACACACCTATAATCCCAGCACCACGGAGACTGAGGCAAGGAGGATCACTGCAAGTTCAAGATAAGCCTGGGCTACATAGTAAGCTCAAGGCCAGCCTGAACTACATAGCCAGACCCTGGCTCAAGAACACAAAACAAAATAAAACAAAATTTGACTCAGAAATGTACATACACAACCACTAGGTGGTAGTATGTGCCAGTCACGTAGCAGTGAAGTAGGATCATAAAACCTAAAAGTGACTAAGAAATTAGCATGCTTATTCAAGCCTGTCTTTTATATTAGAAATATAAATATATCACATTTATTTCACTTGTGTGAGGAATACAAAGTATGAACAGGGAGGAAAATGGAGGAGAGAAATTAGGAAGTAGGAAGAAATAGTCAATGGGGAATGAAAACAAGAGATGGGGAGGGGGAAGGAAGAAAAAAGATTTAAAGAACAAATTGAAAGAAATAAATGAAAATAGAGCTTTTGTAAATGCGGAGGTAAAGATTTGGAGGGAGGAGAGAGGAAGAGGACAAAAAAAGAATTATGATGTGCTTTGAACATGTATACATCCCTCATGATGAATGCAATTATGTACTAATAAAAGAATAAAATGTGAGGAAAAAAGTTTAAAATCAATCAATAAAATAAAAAAGGTTTTAACTATTAAAGAATTGGTCAAGCATTTGTTTTAAAAATAAAAACCCATTAAAAACTTTATCAAATCATTGTTTTATCAACATACTATAACCTTAGTCTTTCATTTTTTGTTTGGTTTTTTGAGACAGAGTCTCACTACGTTACCTAGGCTGACCTCAAACTTTCAATCCTCCTTCCTCAGCCTCTCGAGTGCTATGATTACAGGTATATACTACCATGCCCAGATTTTTAGAAAGTAACTGATTAAAAGTAGATATCTCTTATAGGATTCTTACAAAGCTTGAGCACCCAGGGCCCTTAAAACTATCTCAGCTTAAAGATCTTGTAATGCCTCAGTCATACTACACTAATAGAAAAACCACATCATCTTTATCCATTCATTGGTGGATGGGCATTTGGGTTGTTCACAAGATTTAGCTATTACAGTTTGTAACTGGTGGTCTAAGAAACTGAAAATGTAAGTAGGAACGGAAATGTATAACAGACAATGTGAAATAAGGAAAAATTGTTGAAAAGGAAGGGTGAACTAGAGAGGGGGGAAGGGAAAAGAAAAAAGGGGAAGGAAAAAATGGAAACTGAGCTTTTATAAATAAGGGAAAAGGGGTTGGTTGAAAGGGGAGAGGAATGGGGGAAAAGGAATCAAGATACATCATGTACAAGTACAAACTCCCTATGATAAATGTGATTATTATACAAATCTAAATTGTACCAATAAAATTTTAAAAATTTTAATAATGCCTCAACTTTTAGCTAGAATTTTTTTTTTTTTTTTCTGGTACCGGCGATTTATTACCCAGTCTTCATAGTCTTCTTGGTCTTCCTCCTAGGGTACTCAGTATAATCGAAGAGTAATTATAATATAGTCTGGGCTGGGGATTTAGCTCACTGGTTCCTCCACCTGCCTTGCAAATGCAAGGACCGAGTTCAATCCACAAAAAAAGTCTGTTTCGTGCTTCCATTCAGTTAAAATTAAAGTCACACTTAAGGTGACTTTATGGTCCTTGTAGTGATTTGCAAATCCCAGTGTAAGGTGAGAAATATCTAAAATTAATTGAGCATCTAGGCAACAGACAAGGCACTGCACAATTTATCTTACTGTAAATGTCACTGGCAATCTCCATTCAGACATATATAAAGATAAGCCAAGAATTTATTGTTGTTGTTGTTTCTAACAGGAAAAAAGCTTTAATTAGAAAGTAAGAAGGGCCAGGGACTTTGCTCAGTAATATCACACCTACCTCACAAGAGCAAGGTCCCAAGTTTGATCCCCAGTACCAAAAAAAAAAAAAGAAGAAAGCAAGAGATTTTATTAGTTCAAGGAGCCAACAAAGATCAGGCCAGCTCTTGACAAAGAAAAGTCAGAAAAATAGAAAAGGACACCACCTTGAGTAGCTTGAGGGGGGTATGCTCTAATGAAGGGGATTAAACTGGCCCCAGAACTTTTCAATCTAGTAATTTATAGCAACTTTGCCTTCTATTGGGTTTACCCAATTGGGTTTGCCTTCTATTGGGAATACCCAACCCACGTAGATTAAGAAGTATGAGAAAAGGGGCCAGGAATTTGGCTCAGTTGTTCCACCACCTGCCTCGCAAGTGCAAAAGGGCCCGAGGTTCAATCCCCGGTACCAAACAAAAAAAGAAGTGTTAAAAAGAACTTGATCTTACCAAATAAAGGTGACTTAATTCCTTCTGGTAATTTCTGTTGACTAAAGGTCATCCTGTGGTCATCTTCTAGTTTAAAATATATTCTGTGCAAATGTTAAAGTTTTCCATCATCAGCTGGGTGAGTGCCTCTAATCCCAGCACTCTGGGAGGATGAGGCAGAAGGATTGTAAATTTTGTCCGAGCAATTTAGGAAGAACTTCCCTGTCTCAAAATTAAAAAATAAAGGGCTGGGAATGAAACTTAGTGTGAAGGCTCTGGGTTCAATCCCTGATTCTGCTAAATAAATTGTTTAAACATAAAAATAAGAAAATTAGGGGCAGGGGGTTTAGCTCAGTGGTTCCACCGCCTGCTTCGCAAGCGCAAGGACCCGAGTTCAATCCCCTGTACCAAAAAAAAAAAAAAAAAAAAAAAAAAAAAAT